GTCAAATAGATGACTGGAAATCGGGAACTCACCAGAGAGTGTGAGTGGAGCAGTTGCAAAGCTCTTAGAGTTTACAAATTAATGGAACCAGAACCTCGGCTAGGAGGTATGATTTCAAGCAGCTTGGAAAGCATGAAACTTGATTCTTGACACCAGTGGACAGTAAAGTCCAGGGAACTTTGAGGTCGGCAAGTTTGATCTCGGACAGAGGGGCACAGATGAACGAATAGTGTAGGTTCCATCACCTCAGAATGCTGAGGTAATAGAACCTAGGGGGCAGTTGTGGGGATATATTGTCTGAGTACCAACAAGTGGCAAGGTGACGCCGACGTGTCAGCCGAGGTGCCACGTGTCCTGGTCGTGATGCCGAGGTGATCTCGGCAAGGCCGAGGTTATCTCCGAAGATATCGGAATCCGAGATAAGTGGATAAGGGACAAGAGTTCTAGAATGAAAAGGGAACTCAACCTGGATGAGGGACAAGAGTCCTAGATTGGGAGAAGACTTCAGTTTGGGTAAAGATAAGACTCTTAGAGAGTTTATCCTAATCCCACTAGGAGTCCCAGATTAGCAGTAATCCCGAGTCCATAGAAGTTAGGCTTCTATTAGGACTAGGTTTATGTTGGCTATAAAAGAGAGGCACCTCCATGGGTCTAAGGTATGCTTTTGATACTCAAGCTTGTGAGTTTAGTACTTGATTTATCTTTAAGAGATATACTGACTTGATCGTCGGAGTGCCCCCGGGTGGTCGAAACCACCGCGGGATTCTTATATTTCTGTTGCAGGTAAGTCAGGTGCCATCTATTCTGCCAGTGCTCTCCAGCTGGTTACTAAGCGGGCAGTGTGGTCGGAAAATCACCCACACAGTATCACTCAATATCCTTGATACTATTACATCACATTTGTCTCCTAGTACACGATCTGAAATTAAGGTTTTAGAGATAAAAAATTTAGAGACAAAATCACTTTTTAAGAACAAAATATTTTTGTTATCAAAAGTGTTATTAATTTATTTTTAGCAACAAACACTACAAAAAAATTCGTTTTTTGCGACGGTAAATTGCCGTCGCAAATGCTTCGGAAGCCGTCGCTAATACTTTTTGCGACGGTAATGTGGCTTTTTGCGACGGTAAGATGGGGTCGCGACAAAGGGGGTTGCAAAAGAGCTTTCGCGACGGTATGTACCGTCGCCATTAGTTTCTGCGACGGTAAGTTGTGTTTTTTGCGACGGTACTTTTCCTGTCGCAAATAATGGGAAAAAAATCAGTTTTAGCGACGGCACGTAATTCCCGTCGCTAAAAGTGAGCTTTTGAGACGGGAACATTACCGTCGTTAAAGGCTCTGGCATCTTATAAGTATTGGCGACGGCACGGTTACCGTCGACTAACCTGCTGATAAATTATTAAAAAAATTAAAATAACCTGTATTAGATAAAAAATAAGTATAAAAAAATTCAAAAATTACAGAATAATATAATTACGTACATAAACAAAAATTGACAAATAATGAAAATTAATAATATTGTTCCATTCATAGCAATACATAAATAAAAATTCATAACAATAAAAATTATGCCACTACATAACGTCGCATAATACATACATAATGTTGCTCACAAATTTAAATAACATAAATCAAAATCAAAATCAAAACCAAAAGTTTTCGTCTTCATTCGTTCGTGGGTTACAAAAACAAAAATTCGTCATAATCTTGATACGCCCGCATTCCAGAAAAAGCCAACTGCTACTCAGGAAATATCTGAAAAAAACAAGATAAAAATAATTAAAAACCATATAATGTGTTAATATTTTAATTATAGAAAAATATAAAAAAAATATTGACTACTATATAATTAGAAAGATAGTTTAGTAAATAATTTTGACTGGACCGAAATCCGGCTCTAACTCCCAAACCGAGAACCCGGTTCGAGCCCCGTCTTCTCCCACAAGTCTATCGTGCCTAGGCGGTCGTGTGTGCCAAGTTTCGTGCTAAACCGATGCCGTTTGGTCATTTTGGGGCGTTAACTCCTCAAATTCAAGTTTCTTAAAGAAGTAGTTTGCCTAAAGTGAAACCCAGCTCTAACTCCCAAACCGGGAACCCGATTCGAGCCCCGTCTTCTCCCACAAGTCTCTCGTGCCTAGGCGGTCGTGTGTGCCAAGTTTCGTGCTAAACCGACGCCGTTTGGTGATTTTGGGGCGTTAACGCCTCGACACTTTCAACACTTTCAAGAACAAATCTTTCTCATCCTTGGTCATCGTGAATTGTGCTGGTGGTAAATAGGCTTTATTCGACCCTCTTAACTGCAAATGTAGGGGTTTTCTAATATTCATATCTTGTAAATCACGCCGAGCATTAACACCATCCTTCGATTTTCCTGCAACCCCTAATATTGTCCACAACACATTATCACAAACATTCTTCTCTATATGCATCACATCGAGGTTGTGTCTAATTAGATTGTGCTCCCAATATGGCAGTTCATAGAAGATACTCTTTTTCTTCCAGCTATGGGTGCGATGTCCAACTCTCTCATTTTCTACCTGTCTCCTATGCCTCTCCTTAAGGTCATCCCTCTTGTATTGGGTTAAAATATCCTCAGATTCTAATTGTAGCAACATCTCAGTTCCAGACAACAATTTTGGTTTGAGTCTAACTTCCCGACTACCATCAAATGATACTTTATCCTTCCGAAATTTATGGCCAGTAGGTAAAAATCTGCGATGACCCAAGTATGATTGTTTCCTACTATGCAATGAGGAAGTGAGGCAGGGATGAGTTTCGCTTCTCTCGCCCCGTCCTACCCCGCCTGGTGGTTGAAGTTTTGTGTTGGAAAAATCTTTGACAAAACGTGGGAGTGGATTTCTATCCTTATTCAACTCACTTGACTAGCTGTCAATGAGGCAAATAATTTGCGGCTCACCCAAAACATTAGATGGCAGCAGCAGGTCCTACCAAGTATACAGTCCACTAAAATAATCGAATTCATCATACCTGTGCTTGAGTTCGATTGTCAAACTTATTGTCCAGGTGGTAATTTTGACGTACAAAAACAATATGTTGTCCAGTATAAAGATAGAGATATGATTCTTTACATCAGTTTTGTAACTTGATCATATTTGGGATGTGTTTTAGGTCGTGGTCAGGTGCGAATTAAAAACAAGTAAAATAGTAGCATTTCCTTGTCCATGGTTTCTCCCATTTATCAAAAATGAAAATACTTGCCTTTGTTTTGGATTTTGAGTCTAGAATTTCAGAATTTGCAAGCCTGACTGGTTTAGGGTTCTACACAATCTGCTATGCCGGGGGCCACATCTAGAAAATGATTGTGATCCACCATCAAATGGTTGTCAATTAGTAGATTAATTAATTGCATGAATAGCTGCTTGTTTTAATTTCATAAATTAAAAATATGAAGAGTTGCCAATATGGAAGGGCTTAAACACATCAAATGAAGATCAGAGGCTTGACTTGCTATTTGCTAGTTTTCTTTGCCATTGCTGATATTACTGGGTCCCAGACCTTTTTTGGCTCTCTTTGTGCTCTCGGTTGCTGGCACAAATATGTTGAGAGGAGAGTGTTCTTTTCAAATCACAAATAGATACCAATTCTGTCATTTTCAGACATCTATCATAATTACATCTATCATAATTTGCTTGGGCTAGATTGGCTTGTAGATACTTTGCTCAACTTTGAGTGAATCTCTGAAATGCAAACTGCTGCTTATATTACCTTCCACTGACAAATTTACATAGTTTTGTTTGTTTTTTTTTTGTTTTTTTTTTTTTTGTGCTATGTATTATTGTGGTTGCCCTTAATATTAAATGGTTGCCCTATGAGGTTGCTACATTTTGGATAGGACTCAAATTACTTTTCATTTATTGATTTTAGGTTAATTGCTTAGCTTTCAATCCCTTTAATGAATGGGTTGTGGCAACGGGGTCTGCAGATAAGACTGCAAAGTTATTTGATCTGCGCAAGCTCTCTACTGCTCTCCACACCTTCAACTGTCACAAGTGAGAGTTCTCTCCTTGGTATTTTCCTTTATGCATTATGTACCTTTGGAGCTCGTGTAGATTTAATTATTTCTTTTTGTTATTAAGACTATATTAGGTTTCTTTAACTGTGTGCGTGTCCATGAAAGCATGTATATGTGTCATGTGAAACTCGATTTTTATTTTTTCACGACAGGGAGGAGGTTTTTCAAGTTGGGTGGAATCCAAAGAATGAGACCATATTAGCTTCTTGTTGTCTTGGGAGGAGGCTTATGGTGTGGGATCTTAGCAGGTTTGCCTTGGACCACTAGTATTTGTTGTTGTAGTTTAAATATTTATATTAGTGTATTTTAATCTATCTTTTTGTTGTGGAGATAAGTAACACACACAAACACACCAGCATGTCGCAGCTGGTACTGAAACCTACGCATCTCTCTTTGGAAGTGGTAGGAGATACCACTTACTGTCAGTTTAATCAAATGATTTGGTGAGAAATGAAAAGAAAATGAGGAGGAGAACTCCTTATCAAGTTTGGTTTATAAGTTAGGTGAGAAATGGAGAGAAAGAGAACTCTCTTATTTTATGTGTGTTTCTTTCTCACCACTTCGGTGAGAAACAAATGGATTGGTTGGTGTATTTTTCATAACACCAAGATTGTCCATTGAAATACAAAAGAAGAAAAAGAAATACCATCCATATCCATATATCACCAACTTTGCTTTTTACTAAACACAATCATTTATTTTCTTTTCTCACTCCGCATTGAGCAACAGCTGGTAGTTTGTTGGGATTAATGGGTGGATTTTTTATTTGGAAGTGTGGATTTTCAACCTATATTCTACTATTTCTAAATTACTATTGCATATAAAACTACCTCATCACATTCTGACCATGTGATCTGAATCAGCCTACTTCAATTGCCAAATTTTCTTAGTATCTACTATTTCTATACATTACTGTTATATTTTCCTAACTGCCTCTATCTTTGGATATTTATAGACTAGATTAAACCATTATAGCTTAGGCATAAGCAAATTGGATCCATGTTGGTCTTCAGCCCACCTTCTGATAGCAGCCACAGAACTTTGAGTTGAGAACATGGAAGCAAGATCAAAGAGTTGAAGAAGAAATATGTTACAAGAAATGTGATCAATATAAGAAGAAATGCTCCTAATTTTAAGGTTTTCATTCTCTCTCTCTAGCTAATCTCTTTATGTAGACAGTGTATTATAGTGCTTGATATGAAGCATATTTCAAGTTTTAGCTATATATAGATCTCATGGTGGAAAAAATACATTGGAGACTTCAAATATTTTAATTTAGTGTTTCTACAAGTCAGGCTAGCAGCCATAGACTATTGTGTTAAATAATAACCAAAAGCCCCATTATTAGTTTATGAGTTGCACTATAGAGTTTTATGTGTACTTGACATCACAATTTTCATAACCATTAAAACACTCGGCAGCAAAACAGAGCTAGCAGCAGCAAGGCAGAATCAACAGCAGCAAGGCAAAGACACACTCACACACAGCACCTGAGCAGCTATTCATAGCAGCTAAACTAAAGCAAACACAAACCAGAATTTATAGACATTAACAGCAGGCAGACACGGCACCTGGATAGATTTACATTGCAGATCACATCACACTCCAGCAGAATGTGTAGACAGACCACCAGAGTGTAGCCTAACCAGTTCCATATTTGAGGTACCAACACAGAAACATTAAACAACTCCATTCTACATAAAGAAATGCAACAATATCCCATGAGGGAGAGAGCACTTGACTGGCGCAACATGCAGCCTGGTCTTCATGTCTACAACCTCCCCTCTATCACTATTGATTTTAGCAAACCTGAGTATGACACTCCACATAAGTAGGCATCATATCCAGATAATACAAAACCTGCATAACCAAATCTCACTACACAATGAATTCCTAAGTCACTCAACCCACAAATGTGCCTCACACTCATCAAGAAAAGCAGGTACTTGGGGAATCTACACACAATTTTGGTCTCACTACACTCAACCCACTTTTACGAACCACATAACACTCAAACTCACAATGCTCCCTCTTGTACCTGCAATAGAAGATACACATAGATAGGCAAAAGATAAAATTAGTATGAACCCACACATATATGGTCTCACATCACTCAACTCACATTTTGGTAATCCTCACAATCCTCAAATCCAGCTGCACCTGCAAAATAACATGCTTAGCTATAGCAGCTCTGTTCCACACCTCCATGGACTTAAACCCTAACCCACCCTCATTCTTGGGAGAACAGATATTCTCCCACCCTTCCGCACCTGTGCATGGCCGTATTGTTTCGAGATGTCAACAAGCCAATGTTGAATGTATCGACATGATTGACTTGAGCGAATCAGAAACTGAAGCATCGCCAGAGCACACTAGGAAGGCTAGACAGTTGAGATCGTTCTTAGATAGCATCAAAAAAGACATTTCTTGAATATGAGCATTATATATATGTATATTGTATTTCTACAGAGTGTGTGAATGTGTGTGCACACTGTACTTTTAGTATTCATATATGATACTCTCCTTCTTCAGTAATGTTAAAATGAAATGGTTCTTAGCATTGTTACAGATGCGCCAGCTGGGTTAAGGAATGTTCATTTGCTTCTTGTGTTATATTGTATAAAAAACTTGCAACTAGTCGTGGAAAAGTAGGCACTTTTACGTTGTTATGGTGATGTTATGAAACCACTGAGATCAGATTAAACAAAGCGGTGTTCACAAAAAATAAAAATAAAAGATTAAACAAAGCCAAAGCAATTCTAGCATGTCAATGAACAAGGTTAGGTCTTGAGTCCAGGAGGATTTACACGTAATCCTCTTTACTTAATGATCCCAAATGGACATTGAAATTGAAACCCGGAACAGGAACAGGAACAAAAACAGACAGAATAATATCAATTTTTTTTTTGGTGATTTAGAAATTCTGAATTTTGTGATCCCATTTCATTTTGACTCTAAATTTAGAAGTTATAGAACCTTCCGTGTTTGAACCAGCTGCAAATCTGCTTGCATGACTTAACCCGAGTTTATTTGCACTTTCATCCTATTTCTGACTGCAGGTTTCTCACGGGGCCAACTAGCCATAACAACAATTAATTACATTTATCATTTAGGCAACAATTGCTTAGACAAGTTGGCACTAGAGAAGTAGGGCTCACTTTGTTTCACGTAGCAGCTCCTTATATCCTTAATCATCACTAATCTGATGATATGCTGCTACAGTATTGAGGAGTTTGTTACCCGGCACTTAAAAATGCTAAATTTGGTTTACAAATGTTTCCTTTCCAAAAAAAAATAAAAAAAGACAACTCACCATATGGAAACGACACTGTTACACTTTGTGCAAGTGCAACAACATTATTGCTCTAGAATTGAGGTTTCACAACTCTATTTTTCATGAAGGAAGCTAAGAGAACGACAAAGACATGGGGTATCAGATACTCTCAGGTGTCTGACTGAAATGGAATGAAGATGGTTTCTGTACTGGTGTAGCAAAATATGATGGCAATTGGGACCCAGGAGGATAATCTGGAGCAGCAGGAAATTGTGACATCAATCTAGTGGATGAGAATGGGATTTGGTTAGGATATCCATAAAACGAATCAAACCTGGTAGACAGTTTTGGCACCAGTATTCTTAAGCTCAATACCAGTCCACAGGAAAGACCTACAAAGACTCTCCACCTCTCTGATGACTTTCTTAAGTATAATAAACAAAGAGGACCAATAAACTTGCATGGAGAACAAGATAGTGCTAATCAACTGAGCTCTCCCGGCGTAGGACAAAATTTTATTGGTCCAAGATTTGATTCTATTAGAGATTCTAGACACCAAAATCTGACAATCAACAGCTTTGAGCCAAGTAGGAATAAGGGGGACACCCAGGTATCTCATAGGGAGAGTACCATCCTTAAACTTAGTAATATCCAAAATCTCATACCTCAACTTCTGCTCACAACCAGAGAAAAACACATGACTCTTCATAGGATTAGCGGACAGACCAGACATGCTTTGAAACTCAGCTAATCCCTCCTTAATAAGAGTAACAGAATTAGTATCCCCTTTACAAAAAATCATTAGATCATCCGCAAAATAGAGATTCACAATTTTGGCTTTCTCACATCCAGCGGAACTTGAATTTTTTAGTTTGAGTTAATTTGGTTCAATTTCACACTTTAGACCACTATGAACTTGGGATAAGCCAGCTCCGTTTGTTACAAAACAAGTCTATGCAAGAGCACCAAGTGCAGGCCAAGCTGCAGCCTGAGCTGCAGCCACATACTTAGTTTGCCACTGATGAAGGAGCTCAAGACAGAGCCACAGCCGCAGACCAGGTTGCTGACTCAACTGCAACAAAACACCAGGCCGCAGCCCAAGCCACAATGGCTGCAGCCTAGGCCACAAGCTCAGAACAAGTCTAAGCAAGAGCACCACTCTGCTGCTGCTATTGCTGCACTTAGTTGCTGCTGCGGCTGCTGCAAACGGTTTTTGCTGCTACTGCAAGTTGCTGCCTGTTTGGGAGGGAAACCACCTAAGTGAGTTAGGCAGAGATTATTGAAAAACCAGAGATTATTGAATTTGTTGTTCTATTTGCTTTTGTTGTGATTTTTTTTTTTTTTATTATAAGAAAATTAAATTAGGCCGAATCATATTTCTTTTGTAGATCCAGAAATAAGTTGATTCTAAATTTCCATTCTAAAAAGTATTTCTTATCAGTTTAACTAACCATGTAGAAGGATAAAATATGCAAGACAAACTCTAAAAGCCAGATATGGTATTGCAGATTGCATTTTCTTTTCATTTGATCTGGTAGAGGAGCTTGCAAGAAACCCATTCTACGTCAGGAATCCTTGCACAACCTTGCTGGTTATACATAATCGTTGAATTTGGACAAGGCGGTAAGCATAAATTGTTGTGAGTTGTGAATATGATCTTGCAATGTATCAGAGCTAACTGCATATTTTCTGATCAAATCCATGTTCCAGGTTCTAGCCTTCTGCATGTTGCTGTGATTTGGCTGTGTTGGGTATAGTGGATCCTGATAAATACTAATTACTGACCACTCGATCGCGGATCCAATTTAAGGGTATTTTGATATTTTTACACTTAATTATTTTTGCTTAATATAATTACTTTTGCTGGCATTTTGGGTTATTTGGATAAATATGGTATTGTTCATGAATAAATTTTTGTCTGAGTTTTTTGGAGCAGAACTTGAAATATGAAAGTATGATGGGCTCTATATTTTGTCAATGAGTAAATGGTTCTGGACGTTGCTCTTACCAAACCCTTTTGTTTTCTTTGCTAAGTTCATTGGTCTTCTTATGCAGATGGATTACTGAATCATATTTAAGCATGTAAATTGATTATTTTCTTGATATATAGTAGTTCACTTGAGTTCATACTCAGCTATCTTAAGACACTGATATTTGGTCCATTTTTTTCCATGAGAATTGATTATATAACAATTTTAGGTTATATATGGAGACACAGATTCTGTAATGGTACAATTTGGTGTTTCTACTGTTGAAGAAGCTATGAACTTGGGGAGGGAAGCTGCTGATTACATTAGTGGGACTTTCACAAAAGTAAGTCAAGTGTTTTGAGTTCTTTATTTAGTTGGCTATCATCTTTACTCTAATTGTCATCTACCTCTTAGTTCCTTCATGATCATGCTCAAAATTATAGATTCTAGAATTAGTTTTCAAATATGTATGGAAGAGATCTTACTAAACAATTTAAATTAGAAGAAACTGATAAGTTATGTCCAAAGCCATTTTTGGTTGAAGAAAGATGGTGTTTTTGTATGGTATGCAGATGCACTCATTATTTAAATGCCCAATTTCTTGAAATTTTCTGCCTTTCTTATTTTATTATTTTTATTAAATTTTGTTTTGGGGCAGGGGGTCGGGGTAGGAGGATATATTTGGATGTGTTGTGGATTTGGTTGAACTTCAATAGCTATACATTTTATTAAACTCAACTCAAAGATACCAGTCCCCAAAAATGAGTAATTAGTCCTAGATGACACTGAAATTTAATTGTTCCAAATTTGTCCTACCTATGATCGAGTCTGGTAAGACATAAACATGTCTATACTATACCCCCCCTGCACTAGTTGTGAATATTATTGAAAAGTATGCATGCCAAGATCTGTTCTATTTACTTTTTTCATCTCCCACTTCTTATTCTTCAGTGGCTGAAACCCTTTGCCCTCAACTTGTTGGCAAATTTTATGGTTTTGGATTAATCTGGACTGTGTCTAACCAAACCAAACCAAACCAAACGAAGCCTTAAGTCCCATCAAATGGGGTCGGCTACATGAATCCTTCTTCTCCACGCGGCCCTATCAAAAGCCATTTCATTAGTCAAATTAAGTAGATTCATATCTCTATTTATAACGCTAGTCAACGTTAATCTAGGCCTACCCCGTCCCCTAACACTTCCATCTACCGTTACAGCATCGCATCTCTTCACTACTGCCTCTGTTGGTCTCCGTTGAATATGACCAAACCATCTCAAACGATTCTCTCTCAACTTATCTTCTATCGGTGCTACTCCTACCCATTCCCGAATACACTCATTCCTAATCTTGTCTTGTCTAGTCTTACCACACATCCACCTTAGCATCCTCATCTCAGCCACACTCATCTTATCTACATGTTGTTTCTTGGTATTGTTGAAACACCCAAGAACGAAGGAACCAGATATGGTCCCCGTAATTTCCAGATCACAAAGGAGGAAAATTCAGCGTAAGTACACCCAGTACCAGCAAGACCTGAAAGAAAGTGGAGAGAGTTCTTCATTGATCCAGGCCGAAGGAAAGAAGAATCCAAAGTCAGACCATACTCTAAAGCCAACTTTACAAAGCAAGGTGGGTTGCAGCAGAGAACAGTTGGCTATGGTCCATTCTAAACTAAAAGTCAGAGAGAAGGCTAGTTTAGCAGGATTGGATAAAGCTCTGATGGAGAGTGGTAGCGAGACGGAAGAAGAAATTGGCATAAGCCAAAAGAAAGAAATGGTGGAAGAAGAAATGTTCGAAGCCTTCATGGCAGAACAAACGTTTCTGACTGAAGAGCCAGTTGAGAAAGATCCTTCGAAGGGATCAGTTAGCAATGAAATACCAGAATGCATCATGCAGGATGTTTCTGAGGAATTCTCTGACTGGAGGAGCATTCGTATGGTACATCAACCTTACACCTGGCTCCATTCAAAATTGGCAACAAATGGAAGAGGCATTTCATGCCCAATTCTTCCAATCAGAGCCAGAAGTATC